ATAATGTAATGTGTCGTTGGAAAGAAATTTATCCGCTCCGTAAAATACACTGTATCGTTTCTATAAATATCGTAAACATGCTGAATTATAGGATTGCAAAGTGGGAGGTTCAAAAGACGAAAGTAGTGGAAACCGACAACTCTGGGTTCCTCCAGAAAACATCAATCACTAGTGTACCCTTCACTCAGTGACGACCTCTTCTCAACATTCCGCCTGAACAAATTGTATCGTACTTTTTCAAAAAATTAGTTTTGCAATAGAACTCGATATTTGACCGCTCTCTCGTTGTATCTAGATCCTTACAGTTTTTCGCAGAAACACTGAGAAACTGACGAGTCGTTTAGAATCAATCGTAATTAAAGAGAAGATTGATCTTTCGACATTTTTGGACATGACGGAGTAATGTCGCCATTATATTGGCCACACACCTTATTACGTCATCAAAATTTTTTCCAAAATCACATCGAGAGGAAAATCGAAACGTGTAGTCGAGTATAGCAAAAAACATTCACGAATTTTGTATGATGTGATATGAAAACGTGGAGTTTCAAGGGAAGAGATCTGGTTCAAAGGATATATCGGTCGGAAAGGTGAGATTACAAAAACGAATGAAACCGGAAGGACTTAAAGTTCGAGTTAGTTCCCGGTAGGCTACTTTCCGTCTAGTGATGCTACCACTTTGCTAGCCTATAATTAAGTCGCAATGGTTGTAAAATGATGCAGTGTATTCTATAGGACAGAGAATCTTCTTCTATAATATTTATATATGATCATTACATGAAAACATGGGATCTCAGAGGGAAACTTTTCATTCGAAAAAAGCGACACTACTCATCATAAAACCATTTACATGCTGGGTTGTTCGGAAAGTTTTCAGAGATTCTCACCCTCAAATTCAAAGGTGAATATTTCGGTTTAAACAAAACATTCTTGTTCGAAATAGAATTCACAAGCCCCAACCCTTAAATACAGGAAGAGGTTTGATGGGAAAACATTCTGAATCACGGCTGCACACCGTTTTTTTTATGGATTTGGGATCAAATGCTCACTTAATAGATCGACTTGCTTCCCCACTTTCCGACCGAATATGAGGGGAGACAAGAAACTCATGCAAACTTGCCGTTGAGTATGTTGTAAAGCACTTTGAAAAATAGGAGAAAAATATTTCAGGAAACGAGTAACACTAGATTTACACAGAAAAGCACTTTCTATTGATATATTGAATAGCAGTTTCTCAAAAGTGGTTCAGAAATGAAGCGTTCAAAAGCGAACAAACAAAACGACGGGAACTTTCTAAACAACCCATTACATCTATTGAAGAAAGTCTACTTTCGAACTCTTTCGCTCTTGGTAGAACTAATTAGGCATGAATACTTATGACATATGGTCAACCTTTTGGTAACTTTCCAGCAAAGTACCAAAAGAAGATACCAAGGAGGGCAACCACATCAGGAGGTATAAGCACAGCCTTCGTGGTGGTAGGGGATGGTGTCTTAGGTATTATTATTCATATTATACTTATTATTGAGTTAAGGTACTATTTTTAACACTTTGGAGCCCATGCAACCCATATGTGGGCCGCAGTGCTCCGCTTAGGATTTACAGCCCACATTCTTGAAACAAATAATAGTTTATCTTTTGTTTTCCTTTCCCTTTCATACTATAAGGTTTCATCTGCGTGATACAGTGAGTTTTTCTTTCCAATTTGCTTGATAGGATTCCTCAAAGCTTCACTGAAATCCCACATGACCGCAAGTTGTAAAACATGCGCACTCTCCAACATGTTAAAATGGAGAAAGGACTTCCATGAAAAAGTGAACGAAATGGACGGAATTATGAAGTTTCCATGTTCAATGAATCTTGGCATGAGTCGTAGAGAATATGTCAGTATAGTGAATAAGCTCCAACCAAGATTGATAACAACTTT